TTTCCAGCTGGAATGTATCAGCAATTGTAAGTGATGCAGAATATTATAACCTTGAAGGTCTTGATAAGATTCATGAGATGAGAGAGGCTAGACAGATAAAAACAGACACCAATGTCAAACATGAATTTCGACTACCACCGGATGAACTGGATTAAAGGACTCCAGAGCCATGAGGGCACTGCGAGAGTCAACTATAACAACAAAGCAGGATAGACAATAAGAAAGCAGTTGACGAAGAGCATAGAGAATAGCATAAAGTTCTGCCGTGAAGATGCTAGTCTCCGGAGGCAGGCGACACGTATAGGTGTGGTCAGGAAAAACAACAGTGTAACCTACACCGTCTGCAGACTTGGACCCATCGGTGAAGATGGAAATGGTGCGGGAGTGTGAAAAAAGTGTTTAAGGAAAAGACGTTTCAGAACTGTAGGAGGGGTAAAAGCTTTAGTAATATGGGTCAGGGGATTTACAAAATTTAGGAAGGGGTACCCTCCACGGATGCAAAGACAGTACAACACGAGGAGAAATATTGGTAATACTAACCGAAAGAGAATTTTGCAAACAAGACAACCGGACAGAAAGAGGGAGGTGGTGAAGGGGAACAGGAAGTACAGGAGGGGTAAAAGTCAAAGCACGACATAGGCGAGAGTGAGGGTGTTGTAAGGACCGTGCAGGGTAGCGAAGACAGTAGCGATCACGGCGGTCCTGGAGACACAGGAAGCCAGTGTCAACATACAAGCTGAGGGTAGGAGTCCAATGAAAGGCACCAGAGCTGAGGCACAACCAAGTATGGTGCAAAGCATCAAGAAGCAGAAGCAGAAGAGTAAGCAGGGCAACCATAATCGAGTTTAGACAGTAGGAGAGAGGAATGTAAAGAGAGGAGCGTGCGCCTATCCGCTCCCCAAGAAGAATGGGACAAAACCTTAAGTAGGTTAAGGGCCTTAAAACATTCAACTCTGAAGTAAGTGATATGGGGCGACCAAGACTAACGAGTGTCAAAGATTAACACCAAAAGCTTAGCGGAATCTTTGTACACCAGGAGATGACCATAAAGAGACAAAGGGGCAAAGAATGATTTGCTTTGAGTAAAAGTCATAGAACAAGTCTTAGTTGCAGAGAAATTGAAGCCATGATTGGTGGCCCAAGACAACATGGCATCAATCACAAGTTGAAGCCGCCGTTGAAGGGGAGGCAAATCATCACCTCGACAGCAAAGGGTAAGATCGTCAACAGAGCGGATAAGATGCCAGAAGGGAGGAAAAAAGATAATTGAAGGCAACCAGAAAAAAGAGTAGTGCTCAAAAATACCTTGAGGAATACCTTCCTATTGCTGAAAAAAGCCAGAATGAGTGGCACCAAGCTTCACTTTAAAGAAACGACGAGAGGTGAAGCTTTGGAAGAAGAGAGATTACCAAGAAGGCCAAAAGAACGAGGTTGGGACAGAATATGGTATCTCCAGGTGGTGTCGTAAGCCTTTTCCAGGTTATAAAGGACAGCAACAACGGAGGTCTTCGCAGCAAAAGCAGTACGAATAGACCTCCAAGTTCACCAAGACATCATTCGTGCTGCGGCACTTGCAAAACCAAATTGAGAAGGAGAGAGGTGGTGATGGTGTTCCAAGAACCACATCAGAAAAACATTTACCGTACGCTCAAAGAGTTTGCAGACACAACTCGTGAGGGCAATAGGGCAAAAGTCTTTAGGGGATGTCCCGAGAGACCCCGGTTTCTGAGGTGGGTTCCTACAGAGTTTGTTCATACTTCAGTCTTGCAGTTCTTTCTTAGCCTCCCTCCAAAAGTATGTTTTAAATGAGTGCAATTGTGGGGTTTCATATTTTCCTTGACATTTCACTGTTTTCTGAGAATGGGTGTTGGACCTCTGAGGGGCCTTTCACCACTACTGCAGTGCAGCATTTGAGTTATCTTATTGAATGAAGTGTCAACCCCCAAGCTTTCTATGAGTTTATTGCATAATTAAAGGTCCTCATTATGTTTGAGTTTGTTGAGCTGTACTAGTTACTGTGCACCATTCAATCCTGGTATTTAATTCTCAGGATGCTAGTTTTGCCGCTCCAGTGGAGCGTGTTAATTTTTTCCAATGTTCTTCGGGTTGGCCCATTGGTAATTGCTGAACATTGTGCTCAGCTGCTTCACCTCTAATTTAGAGGTATTGTCTATCCACTAGGTCTGAAATGGCTGTAAATCAGCTTCATTTCTTGTGCTTCGACTCATTGCTTTCACACCTATCCTGCAAGATCTTCAATGGTCTTGCGAGTTGTTGTTTCATTACTTTCATCTACAGACTTTCAGGAAGCTACAATCTCTTATACAAATCATTAACAATTGCATAAAAAAAATCATACCCAAGAAAATCATCTAATACAAAATCATCAAAAGGTATAACAACCTTTTTTACTGAAAAACAATTTGGATTCATAAATCTGGCCAACATGTTATCAGCAGCATCTTTGATACTATGGACAGCAACAAATGTTTTCTCAGCCATAAGAGATGTGAATAAAGCTTCAAAAGCCTCTGGCACAATGGAATGATTTATATACTGATATACCTCCCCACATCTGGCCAGTAAATGACACTGATCACTCACTTTTCGAAAATCATTATTAGTTTGGGGCTTCACACCAACATTAAAGCATTCTACAGGGTTCCTGCTCAAGCCGAATTCCCTTCAACAATTACATCTATGACAAATCACTGCCAATATATACCATTGTTACCCAGTTCCTTGATAACATGATCCATGTACAGTATAAAGTAAATAAGTTTGGGTGACATAGGTCAAAGAGTTTTATGGTTTTTATTGGCTATTTAATATAGTCTTGGTTACAGCAGTCGGTTGTTAGAATGTTGTGTGTCATGATAGCCAAGACGAGGCCTGGAGCAGAGAGCAGAACTTGAGCAAGGGCAGGGGGGGTAGAGAGCTCACAAAGCGGGCGAGAGCAGAGCTCAGGAGGAGGACAAGAACAGTGTGCACGAATGCAAGGTGAGAATGGATAACTTGAGTACAGCCAGAAACTGGCTGTCTACTAAGTGGCAAGGCTGTAGCATCTTGTGAGAGTAGGAACTAGGCTCGTCAAGTGTTACAATGTTGGTGGTGGATGTCGATGGTGTTGAAGATGATCCGCAGTACTGTATATACAGTGTGTTTGTCACTAAACCACTTCCAGAGTTAGACTGATGATGATCCATTCTTGATGGCTTGTATTCCACTCTTCATCTGGCTTGCCAAGTAGATCATCTTTCTGTTACATTTCACCTGTCCTAAATGATTCCTGGACTCATTGTGAAGAAATATCAATTGTAATTGGTGCACATTAAATTAGTGTAGAGCTTCTTGGAATGTAGAATACTTAGTTATAAGTTATGTGGAATTTTAAGAGGCGCATCTAATTGCTTGCAAAGAAAGTTCTGAAGACTTTGGAGCAACTATATTTCTCTTAATATAGTTGCTACACATGAGGCAGTATCCAGCCCTGTACACAAGCACCATGGCAACTAAGAAAATAAATGAACTAGCCCTAACAGTCAGACAGGAGAGAAAGTGGCAAATTACCATCAAGACAAAATGTACATTGTGGTGATTCCGAGGGTCAAGGTCCCCGTTGCCCAGTCTCTGGCTGATGTGATATATTACCCTTACGTGCTGTATAACAAAAAATAAAAATAATTTTAAAATAATTTAAATAATTTAGAATAAAAAACCCATTGACATCAAGATCACCTACAAGGTACTGGGATATACACCACCATGTACTGTATCATGATTGCTGAACTTCACCAAAATCTTTTAAATTGAGAAGTTGGGCTAGTCAAAAGCAGCATAGCACACTTACATTAACATGAACATTTACGAATGAAACAAAATATTTGGTATTTACTATTTGAGTCTGCAGAATCGAGCTATTTGCTCTTGGACCCCACTTTACTATCCAATCTATTTTTCCTCTATTGTATCTACTGCATATATTTTTCTCTAACACACGTACACAAACACTTTCCCAGAAAGCAGCCCGTAGCAGTTGTCTCACTCCCAGGTGCCTGTTTACTGCTAGGTGAACAGGTACATCAGGGTGGAAGAAATTCTGCCCATTTGTTTCCGTCTCCGCCGGGAATCAAACCTGGGACATTAGGACTACAACCCCCGAGTGCTGTCCACTCGGCCGCGAGGTCCTTGTCTAAATCTGTGTGTATCTATATCTGCATAGATTCAAAGAAGCACAAACACAAAAGGGTTGTTTCTCTAAGATTATCAAATAAGTGCTTTAATACTGTATCCAAATGCCCCATTAGCATAACACATCAGACTAACAAGAAGAAAACAACAAATGTCAGCCTAAACAACATTATCTGAACAGACAAGCAGCACATTACCTTCAAAATCATATACTTAAACAGAAGATTCTACTACTGTATCACCCAAACACCAACTTTCCAGAACTGAGACAGTGAATGTCCCAGAAAGAGAATTTACAAGTTATCATCAACTATCAGTGACAATGAAAGTTAAGACCACCACAGAATTATGTAGGCAGACTATACCATAAATTCAGAGAGCACATACACAAACAAGATCAATGTACCCAAGACAGAAGGTCCTCAGCAATTCCCTCCATTCCCCTTTCCTTACCCAACATTTCAAGTCTTTGCCACTCGTCATCCCTTACCATCCCTACCATCGAAGAAATTATGAATGAATAAATTATAATCTTTTCTGGTAGCGTTTACTACAGTATTTTGATAATTAATCAACTTCCCTCCAACGGCATGTATGCCATTTGGATCTACTTTTTGCAGACCTACCTGGACTATTTTGATCTATTGGTTGTTTAGAGAATTCAGTTGTAGTTGGGTCGCTTGAGAGAATCCACTATATCCTTACAGTACAGTACTTTTAAGATAAATGCTCATGTAGCAATATCATTTCCTTGTCTGTTACATTCATCAACACTTATTTTATACATGGATAAAGGTGCAAGCATATAGTCAATACTCACTTTGATGGGACACGTAGAGTGGGGTGCGCTGTGATGCTCCAATTAGCATAATCGTTAATAGATGTGGGTATGTCGTTTCCAAGGCTAGGCATAGTGTCTGTTGGGAACAAAAAAAAAAAAACAATCAAAAAATCTTAAAATCAATGCATTTAATTACATTATCATTACCCTGTTTCCCACTTGCATTGCGTTGGTAGGCATCAGCTCAGAGATAGACGGAAGCAATCTCTTTAATCACCGCACTCTGCAGAGTACCTTGAGGCACTAGATTGGGGGTGAGCAGAGTGCCTCAGGGCTATCGTAGGTATAGTGTAGGATTCAAAACTGGCACACGGGGACTTTGGTACAAAATGGATGCCCGAGGCCTCCAGTGATCATCTACCATTTTGAAAAAAAAAATCCCAGCATGCCCCACAGCCAAAGGGAACCTCAGTTTCAAGGTAGCAATAATGTCTGACACGTCATCTACGAGCTCCCGGTCCATGGTTAGCCACGATGTGGCAAAAAGACTCTCAGAGGACAATATACGGGAATTTTGTTTGATGATGGACCGAGTGTTGACGACTTGGACTACATTCCAGATTTGGAATTTGGAAAATTTGAATTGGGTTACAAACTTTGACTCGCTTTGCAACTTTGTTAATACACGTATGGGTCGACTGGGCGAGTGGTTCCTGGTGGCACGGATGACTGCACTTCAGCTTACCAGTACTCCTGCTTAGTGACGATCGCGCTTGAATTTTGTAAACAATTTCATTGTTTTTTCTGTTTTTTTTTGTTTTTGAGCATAAAAGTAATTATTATACATCGTGCCATGGGTCCCAAGAAAGTCAGTGGTAAGGTTCAACCTAAAAAAATAGTTGTGAGTAGAGGCAGTAGAAGATGTCCCTTCCTCATTAAGAAAATGTGTGAAGTATGGGAAGAACTGCAAAGTTTTGCTGAAAAGACTCGGCCAGATAAAGCTGTAGCAGACCGCTGCATTTACCTTATTAATGACAATGTGATGTCTCGCTACAGACAAGTGTTAACACTTTAGTCCGGGCATGAAGCAGCATTGTGTCATCCGTTTACTGTCGGTAATCTCGGGGATGACGCAATGCTGCGTCATTTACCACTAAAATAATTGCCAAAAATCAGGTTTTTTTCCGATTTTTGGGGGACTGTTCGGTAGCTGTCAACAAGCCGAATGCAATCTGTGACTACAATACAAACATGAAAGGTGTTGATCACTTTGACCAAATGATCAAATATTATCACTTCATAAGGAAAACTCACAAATGGATGAAGAAAATGACCATCTATTTTGTGCAAATGGCTATCTACAATGCTTATGTGATGTACAACTACTACACAAAAAATACTAAACTATAATACTACATATACTAAAATACTAAATACTAAACATTTGTAGGCAGGAATTGGGAGTGTAGCTGGAAGGTGTCTGGGCGCTCACTCGCGGTTAACGCGTGGCCCGTCTTCAACTCGTCGGCAGGTGGAGCGTGACCAGGTTTTTTATTTTATATGCTAATGTTCCTCTAGAAAATTCTATTGCGAACCCATTGATACCAAAATGAAAGACCTAGGACAAAAATTGAGGTGACCAGAGTGAAAAGAGTAAACACATTTTATCGCTTTTGCGCGCTCCTGGGTAACTCGTTCGCACTTTCTCTGTTTGCTGCAGGTAATTAGCCGGGCTTTTGGAGTTTATATGCATTTAGTGCTGTAGAGAATTCTATTGCGAACACAATGATACCAAATTTAATCTCGTAGGACGAGAATTAAGGTGACAAAGTTGAAGAGAGTATACACCTTTCAGAATTAACGCGTGCTCCCATGAAAGGCTGGGACCCAAATCGCACAGTTAAGGGGTGGTGGGCGGGGCATGCCAAAGTGTTAAAATGTAGGGAAAAACAAGTTTCAATGGAAAGGTTCTTAGTGAGACAAACAAGCAGTGAGCCACAACCAGGTCCTAGTGGTATGCCTGCAAAATGTAGGAGAGAGTACCCCAGAGAAGTCCTCACTGCCTGATGTTATAATGGAAGGGGACTCCCCTTCCAAACACTAACACCTCTCCTCCTCCCCACCACCTTCCATACGCCAACAAGAGTAATCAATAAAGGTAAGCTATAACTTGTACATACAGTGACACCTCGGCTTACGAATGCCCTTATTTACAAACTTTTCGGGTTACGAACTCAATTTCTTTGGAAAATCCGAATCGGGTTACGAGCTTTGCCTCGGAAACGAAGTTTGTTGATACGTGTATAGCTGACCTAGCGCGTGGTGGCACGGTGATCGCCAGTTAAAATATGCCAGTTAAGGTAGTGTACAGTAAAAAAATATATATATAAAAAAAAACATAGTCCATTTAAAGTATTCAGATTATAAATTACGCAATCATTATGAAGCAAGATTAAGGCAATAACAAAAATTATGTGGCGCGCAAGATAAAACTAAATCATGATATAGTGTACTCAACATGTGAAAATTTCATGAGATTTGATAAAGTAACATATGGTTTTATATAATCACATGAGATTTTTAAGTGATAGAGCTCACAAGATGTTGATTGCCTAAAGTCAAATGTTGAAGAAATATGTGTTGTTGTAATCATCACATCTATACAGTAGTACAATTTACTACTGGCATACAGTAGTACAATTTAGTTTTAAGCTGTAGATACAATATATAATAACTTAAGAGACCCAAGTAAGGGTTTAAATAAATTACAAACTTTTTTAATTCCAACACAATGTTCCATAATTTAAGCAAGAGTCATGCCTATCTTCCATTTAAGACTAAATGGATTTCACTCATAGCACTCAGGAGTGGCCAACCAAATACCTGTACATGTATAATATAAACTTGCATCTGGCATCCCATAGTTGGATAACTGCCATTCAACTAACTTTGTTGTGACTTCTGGAAACTCTGATAACCTGACAGCCTCCACTGTCAAACTTGTGTAAATGCTCAACTGTGAAGATTAACGTTTGAAGATGGTGCAATATAGCCAACCAAGACAATGGATATTACACCATAGTCCGCTGAATATTATATTATTAAGCACTGTGCAACAAACTGTCTTGTGTACACATTTTAAGATTAACACAGTTACAGCTTTGAGTAAAAATCATCTGTACTTAGTCCAGAACATCAGATCATTTAACACTATCATTTAGTACTAGATAAAACTTTTCTATATTATCTTAACTAACATTTCTAAATACTGTAAATACCTCGCCCACCTGTGTGACTTAACCAAATATGTAAACAATCCCAATAAAAATGGGTGAAGGTACAACAATCAACTGTCAAAATAACTTTACATCCATCAGTGTCATTTCCATTTGTGAATGTATTTTGCTCAACTTATAACAAAACCCTTCAAATACCCTGTACCTAATGAAGACACCAAATTAATTAAAATGTGTTCTCCTGAATAGTACATCACATTTTCACATATAATTTCCCCAAGGCCAAACACTGATGTACTAAATATGGCAGTAGCTCGCAAAATTGACATGATGTTCCGTTTTTTGTTTGTGGGTCCTTGGGTAGGTTAGGTTCGGCCTATTTAGAAAAAAGTTTTGCGACATCAGGAATGCTCAGGAGAACGGGCTATAAATTCTGCTGGGGGGGAGGGGGAAGAGTGACCAATCAAACAGGGCACTGTTGCAGCCACAAAAGAGGGACCTTCCAGTCACATACCTTGCAGACATCAAAACTCTGCAAAAACCTGACACTGCATCAAATCTACTCTGGCAACTTCAATACCTCAAGACCTCTCCCTGCTGCAGAGGAGAAAGGATCAAGGAGTACACATTCTCTTCTGAGTCTGGAGCCTCAACAGGGAAAAATAGACTGAGCTATAAACCAGGGAAGCCCTAGAACGGGCTGCTTCCTGGGGGTGGAGGCCTGGTCGAGGACCGGGCCACGGGGACACTAAAGCCCCGAAATCCTCTCAAGATAACCTCAAGATAGCCACCTGTTACTGTCTGCCGTCACCATACAAGATTAGTGGTTCGTTACAGTGAACACAAATATAGATACTGTACTTAAATATAACATGTGCATATAGTGTAATAACAGCAAAAGGAGTGTTGGGAGAAGCCATTTTGGTGAGGGAGGTGGCATCATCTTCCTGACTTATGCTGTGTAAAGGTGACCACTATGCTCTTTGTGCACTATACCAACTTAGATGAACAGTTACACAGGGTTCACATTAGGGTATTAAAAGTATCAACACAGGACAGAACACGAAACAATGGATATAAATTGGATAAGTTTAGATTTAGGAAAGACTTGGGTAAATACTGGTTCAGTAACAGGGTTGTTGATTTGTGGAACCAATTGCCGCGTAACATTGTGGAGGTGGGGTCCCTCGATTGTTTCAAGCACGGGTTGGACAAGTATATGAGTGGGATTGGGTGGTTATAGAATAGGAGCTGCCTCGTATGGGCCAATAGGCCTTCTGCAGTTACCTTTGTTCTTATGTTCTTATGTTCTTATGTTACGGTAAACAGTTATGATTCACACATTTTATTATATAAATATATCACACTACACACTATTGAATAATATTACAGCAAAAAACGAAGATAAATCAGACAGTGAAATAATTAGGTAATAATATCTTTGTGGCAACTCCCGCCTGACAGCTGTGGCAGAGCAGACCGCCTCGGACAGCATGCTGAGTCAGCGCCTCATTTTTGCCAGACTTCCCCGACCTATTGCGACCAAAATATGCCACTTACGATTTTTTTTATTATTTTTCTCGTGATCAGGGAACACAAATTAACAGGTTTATAAGAGAAAAAAATTGATTTCTTTTTTTATGTGCCTGTGGATGACAAAGGCCAAATAGCTTGGAGCAGTTTAACCCTTAAACTGCGCATGGCATATATATACGCTATGAGTAACATGTCCCACGGTGCGCATGGCGTATATATACGCCATAGGGTGCCAAGCACAATTCAAATGGCCCGCGGCTACACAGGGTTCACATTAGCTTCTTCAGGGCTCTTGTAAACAGACACCATTTTTTAAAAAATCGTGGGCAATATTCTCTGGTGTGAGAGCCACAGTACTGTTGGAGCAACCAAGGCTGGTGCACGCAGCATGAGCAAACAGCATTGCTGTTCAGCTTGTGACCACAGCATCGCTGAAAAATGTCAAAATAAATATATAACTGCTATTAGTTAGCGATGACAATATTACAGAGGACCCCTGACTGTGATAAAAATGACCAGGATTGTGATAATAGCAGGATTGTTGTAATAATTAGCACTGTGGGAGGAGTGATGCTGAGGGATGGAGGGAGATAGCATCGTCTTCTGACTGTGTGGCCACCAGTTATTGTCTGCATTCACCATACCAGTTCAGTGGTTCTCTACGGTGAACACAAATATAGATACTTCTATATAATGTGTGAATTCGTGTAATAACAGCAAAAGGATTATGTTGGGAGGAGCCATTTGGGTGACGGAGGTGACGTCGTCTGCATGATTTGTCTGGCTGTGTAGAGGGTGGCCACTATGCTCTTTGGGCGCACTACAAGCTTAGGTGTACAGTTATGGTGCATACAACATGTAGATACAGTACTTATATATAATATGTGTATATAGGGTAATAACACTGCAAACAGTATTGTTGGGGGAGAAAGTTTAGTGCGTGTGACCTTGAATGAGTGAGGGAGCCGCCAGCTGACTTTGTGTATAGCGACGACTCTTAGTGCCTGAACTAACTATATCAGCTTAGTTGTACAGTTGTGTTGAACAAAACATGTAGATACTTATATATAATGTCTGTATATTGTGAATAAAGTATAAAACAGGATGGTGGGAGGAGAAAGTGGGCGAGTGAGGCGTTGTTGAGGGAGTGAGTGGCAACGAGTGGCTGGCTGGTGTGTGGCGGTCACTCCTCATTGCTTTTCGACTCATAATACCAACTTGGTGGTTCATTATGGTGACCAAAACATGCAGATACTTATATATATAACCTGTGTATTGAGTGTAATAACAGTAAAACTATTTGTTTATTGTTTTATGAACATAATAATTGAATTACTGTACTAATATACACGCCATACTTTTGAGTATAGCGATGATTCACCTTTTTTATTATATAAATATATCACACTACACACTATTGAATAATATTACTGCAAAAAACTAAGAAAAAATCAATCAGAGACATTGAAATAATTAGGTAATAATATCTTAGTGGCAACTCCCACCGGTCAGCACGGGTGACGTTAACTGGCTCTGACGACCGCTCTGTCAGCGCCCACTTTTTGCCAGTCTTCCTCGGCCTATTGCGCCCAAAATATGTCACCTACGATTTTTTTTCCGTGCTCAGGAAACACAAATTAACATTTTTAGAAGACGTAATAATTTTTTAGAATTTTTTTTTCTTGCGCACAGGGGTGTAAATCTCCTCAGGACCCCTTAGAAACTTAAGGGTTAAGGGTTAAGTACAACTGTAGAATGCATTGTATTTTATAAAATAAGTTAGAATAAACACCCTAAAAGTGATGTGTCTGACAGCAACCAAAACCAAAGGTTTCGGTCAGTACACCCCTTCACTCAAGCCCCTCAAGTCTAACCTCTCCACTCTACATGGGAGAAAGGATCCCTCTCAAAAATGCCATATGATAATAACCATCAGCAATAGCAAAGTTTTGCAATATCCCACTACACTTACAGCTGTAACTGGATTAAAATATTTGGTCTGTTTCAAGGGAAAATAACTACAAGCCCTTTATGCTACTCTCACTGAATACACATATGCATTTAAAACATACTGTAAATGTATGGCTACACAGCACATGTTAACTACAGTATACAACAGTATATTTCTTAAAATACAGTAGTACTAAACCCCCAACAAGTCAAATATATGGAACACATTACATCTCTAAGAACAGACTAAATGACACCCATAATCTGTTGCCTTACCTGGAATGCCTGAGAGCCCTTGGCAGGTAAAATGTCTAAAAGTGTGTGTATTCTTTGTCCTGAGGATGGCTGTCTACGGATGGCGTCGATGTCTTCAGCAGACACTAAGCCAGTTTCTCTAAGGAATGGAATGATTCGCTCTACATCAATCTGAAATTACAGAAAATTATAGTTATAGCATATGAAACATGAAAACTGAAATGCATATACAATAGTCGCCCATTTGTAATTACAAGATGGCGCAATAAGTTTCTAAACCAACTTATAGCATATTAAATTTTTAAGAGTTGTACTCCAAAATAAAGTACAGTGGAATCTCGTGTGACGAGCACCTCAATTTACGAGCATTTTGAATAACGATCGCGCTGATCACTGACAATTTGTCTCGATTGGCAAGCACTTGTTTGATTAACGAGAAAACCACATGGTGCGTTCCTGCTGCTTCTCACACATTCTCGAACGCCTCCGACAATGCAAATAAAATATTTTTTTTGTTTAAAGATGCTAATGATGCTGGATGTAAAGGGGTGATTGCTGTGATGTTGCAAAGCATTGACGTATTCATGTAGAATAAAAAAAATGAAAATATTGAAAAACAGAACAAATGTCAAAAAGGTTCATTTGGTGTTTGTCAGGTAGGCTGCTCCATGTTTCTTAAAAAAAAAATTGAAAAAATTTGAAAAACGGACAAATGCCATAAAGGTTCGTTCAGTGTTTGTCGGGTAGGCTGCTCTATTATTAATAAATAAATGAAAAATACAAAACAAATTGAACACATTTGAAACAAAGATTGTCATTATGGAGCATCCTAAACGACAAACACTGAGCGAACCTTTATGGTATTTGTCCGTTTTTCAAATTTTTTTATATTTTTTTTTTATTTTTTTTTAAGAAACATGGAGCAGCCTACCTGACAAACACCGAACAAATCTTTTGCTAAAACTTTTCAATGGCACTGTGATGTATCACTACAGACAAATACAGTATTGAAAAAATTTGAAAAAAGAAAAAATGTCTAAAAGGCTCGTTTGGTTGATGTCAGATAGACTGCTCCATTTTCTATAAAAAAAATTAAAAATAAATGAAAAAAGCAAAATTAAAAAAATTGAAAAAGAAAACAATCACTACCAGATGTTATAATGGAAGGGGACTCCTTCCAAACACTAACACCTCTCCTCCTAGTACTAAAGATTTGGGTGAATTAGGTATGAAAATTACTTTGAAGTTAATTTTTTGGGGTGTGGAATGGATTAATTCAATTCCCATTATTTCTTATTGGAAAATTCATTTCGACTTACGATACGTCTCTGGGAACAGATTACCATCATAAGTGGAGGCACAAATGTAATTACTTTTATGTTGAAAAAAATGGAATTTTTTACACGCACAATCGTCACTAAACGGGTGGCTTCGGTAAACTGAGGCGGGGTCACCCATCCCACCAGGAACCACACACTCGGTCAACCCATACATGTATCAACAAAGTCGCTAGTGGAGACAACGGTCATAAGTCGAGTTGCATTTTTCGACGAAATTGGGTTTGTAACTCGAAAAATTTGTGTATCCACTCAATTTAACGGCCTCTTTTATACGGATCTGCCGGTAATAACGACCGGTTTGGGAGACCGGTATCTGGAGCCTCATATACCGGTCTGGCAGTCGATATAACCATAGGTCAGTATTGTGTTTGTTTTGGTATCGGTGGCCCTTCACATGGCAACAGGCCACCGACCTCCAAGGCATTGAGGGAGGGATGGGAGGCAGTGATTGATGGAGGAAGGCATTGAGGGGGAGAGGCAGGGAGTGGTGGTGTGGGAGGGAGAGTGTTGGAGGTGGTGGTGAGGGAGGAAGAGTGGTAGTGGTGGTGAGGGAGGGAGAGTGGTAGTGGTGAGGGAGTGTGTTGGTGGTAGTGGTGAGGGCTATCCACTATCGCAGGCCCTTCACATTCTTTGGAAACAAAGCCTAGATACTGGCATTATCCCTGACATATTAAAAACAGCAGAGATAGCACCGCTCCATAAAGGAGGAAATAAGGCAGAGGCAAAAAATTACAGACCGATAACACTAACATCTCACATCATAAAAATCTTTGAGATAGTGCTAAGTAAGATCACAAAATACATGGAATCACAGCATCTCCATAACCCTGAACAACATGGTTTTGGAACAGGGCGCTCTTGCCTATCACAGTTGCTGGACCACTATGACATGGCACTTGATGCCATGGAAGACAGACAAAACGCTGATGTAATTTACACAGATTTCGCAAAAGCCTTTGACAAATGTGACCATGGTGTTATTGCACATAAAATGCGTTCAAAAGGAATTACTGGAAAAATAGGCAGATGGATCTACAATTTCCTGACTAACAGAACCCAATGTGTAATAGACAACAGAATAAAATCGGACCATCAACCGTAACGAGCTCAGTCCCCCAGAGTACTGTGCTTGCTCCAGTACTTTTTCTCATCCTCATATCGGACATAGACAAGGACACAACCTATAGTACTTGAGAGAGTATGGTTTCTCAAGATTCTCCCACAGCTGACTTGAATGACTCACTGCAGTACATAGTGTACTGATCTTGTGCACAAGCCCTATCTCTGTTAACCCTGGATGGTAATCTGTCATGTTGGGTGTCCCCAGGATGCCCACAAAACCAGGAATAATGTAACCACGCGTTTATCCGGGATTCCAACATCCGGAAAACGCCTTTATATGGCCAAAATCGTGAACGGATAAAGTTATCTCAATATCCGGCCAAAATGGCCATAGAGCCGGATAAAAGCTGGTTTAGCCAGATAAAAATTAGGCCGTACCGTATTAATCCCGTCTGCCTGTGGCTCTAGACGCATGGTGGAGGAGGGGGTGGGTGGTGTTGGGAGGGTGGGAGGGGAGCGTCGCGAGGGACCACCTGGGTACTGGAATTACCATTAATTTTAGAACAATTAATCATAGCCAAAAACAAATGAAATAAGTACTAGTAATTATGTAATAACAAATAAATAAGTTTCCAAAAAGCAATGTTCACAGGCTGAAGTTTCCTTCAAAAATATTGTGTTTTTTCCTCCTGGCGTCCTACGTAACGTGCTATAGCTGCCCCACCCCAAGTGGACCTGTCCAACACTGGTCAACTCAAGTGCGTCCGTCCCTCGTATTATACACAGTGCTGTGCCATTAGTGAAATATTTAAATTACTTTTATATTTTCATAGTAACTTTGAACATTTTTGGCCAAGACTATGTCTGGTAGCAGCATCAATCGTTCTGGAGGTGTTAAGAGGAAGAAGGTTGTCCTAGCAATTAGAGACAAGTTATGTGTTGTTCAACCAATGAGGCGTCACAGGCAGCCAAATGCCTTCAACAAGTGAGGCGCCACAGGCAAGCCAAGCCAAATGCCTTCAACAAGTGAGGCTTCACAAGCAAGCCAAGCACCTTCAACAAGTGATGCGTCACAGGCAAGCCAAGCGCCTTCAACAAGTGAGGAGCATGCAAGCGCCTTCAACAAGCGAGGCCTCACAGGCAACCCAAATGCCTTCAACCAGTGAGGTTTCAGCAGCTGGCAGTCAAAACTAACTTTGCTTAATGAACTGTACAGTAATTTTAAGTGTTAATTTTAGTGTTGTGTTAGTATAGGTTACGTAAATTGTTAAGAATTCTTAACTTCAATATGTGTGGCATCAATCAAAAAGACAAACACCAACAAGGTAAGTTGAGGTTTCTAGTTGAATATTTAATAATTATATGTGGCAAGGCAATTCAAATTATGTTGTTTGTAGTATAAAAGTAGTTGGAAATTGTCACTTTTGGACTCATAGGTGAAAAAGTACCATTATCCAAAAAATGTGATAATGCGGCTGGGGGTCCTTCCCATATAGTCCGGATGATCGAATGGAGACGGTATTTTTTCCTAGTCAATCCTCCGATTGTTGAATTGAATTGATTGAATAACCCTTCTCTCTTGTTGGTTCTCTTGGTCCTACTACTGCTATTAATGCTAGTTTGCACTTCATTGAGCGTATGGTCTGAGTATGTAGTATCTGAGATTGTAATATTTCTGATTAGTTTATCATTATTTGTGAAAATCATGTCTAGTGTGTTTTTGTTCCTATTTGGTTCTATAATCTGTTTATCGAGGTAGAATTTGTCACAGAATCTCAAAAGTTCTCTAACCTGTGGGTGATTATTTCCAGGTTGGTTCCCTGCTACGATATTTTCTTTGCCATTCCTCATCTTACACTTGTAAGATTGAAGTTTCCAAGGAAGATAATATCTGGAACTGGGTTTGCTAGGTAATCAAGGATGTTCTCTGTTTTGTGCATCAGCTCTGTGAATTCCTCAACCATTGTATCGGGCAGTTTATACATTAGAATAATAATTAGGTTTATTTTTTCTACCTTGATTCCAAGTACCTCTCCCACCTCACTGGTTGAGTTTAGTAGTTCTGTGCATACCAGATCCTCTTTAATATACTGACGTACTTCTCCATTTGACCTAGTTTCTCTTTCACATCTATATAAATTGTAATTTGGAATCCAGGTCTATCTTTCCATGTAATCTTTTGTACGAGTTTCCGTGAATGCCCCAAATACTGAATTGGACTCTACTAGAAGGCCACTTATGAACGTAACTATTTCTTGATTCTGACTAAGGCCTGGTATGTTTGCAAATATGAATAATTTTCCATATTGCATGTCACTCCTGAAGGGTTTTGGTAGTTCCCCCCCCCTCCACCCTGATCCAGGGTGTGCTGTTTTGGCAATGGTTCGTCCAGTTTTGGTAGTGGTACTGTGGAGTGTGGTAGTTTGTGGAGTTGGGGATGTAGTGTGTGACGAACCTGATGCCGAACTGAAGTCCAGTCTTGGGCATTTCTCCCTCCCCATCTGTACTCCTGCAACGTTTCTGCCTGACTCTGAAAAACTTCCAGGATTATTATATTGAACATCCTCTCTTCTATAGTGCTATGTACCTCATGTGGAAATCAGGGCATTGAAGATCAATCCTTTTCTCTCATTAAGAGTTTGCATAGTTTAGGGTGGAAATATCTGTACTTTGTTCCAAACTACATTTACCCCTCTGTAATGTGTTTCGATATTTTTGGGGATGCATGAATATTCATTCTGTGCCTTTGGATCCATATCTGCACATTCCTTTTGCATAATATTTGCAAATATTCTCATTTGTGATTTTATTCTAGCTATAAAATCAGAATGCCTAGCCAAATGCCAAAATCAGAGTGAGAACCTGTGCATGCCTTGGCCACCTCTGTTTTGGAGTAGTCTGTTTTTTGCCCTAACTATCATTTCCACATTCTTTCTCAGTTTTGCTCTCATTATTCATATTACCAATTGGCTCTTCAGTATTGTCGTTGTTTTTATGTACCTCAACACCTTGTCCTTCCACAATGCTAAGTTGGCTCTCTAAACTATCAGTCCTGACATGTGTTCATTGTTGTTTTTACATAATCTGCATATATTTTTAGTAGTTTTACTGTACAGTAAATGGTAGCCAATGTGCTTCAGGGATGTTATTCATTAGTTTGGTGATGTTTTCCCATATCAGTACATCATTGTGACAAATCTGGTAGGTACCTATTTTTCTTTCTTTCCCCCCCCCTTTTCTTTTTTGCATAGTGTGTAGGTAATTCCGTACAACTCGGGTGAAATCTTATGTTACAAATGTTACATACAATCCCTACAATACTCTTCCGAAGTGTTCTAAAGCAGTATGATGTATCTGAATTCCATTCATCTGGGTTGTATGAGTCTCGAACCGTGAACCCATATAGCCCAGGTTTTTTTTACAGTTCTTGATGAATATGGAATTCCAAGAATCCGGGCCTGGTGCAGAGTGCATAGGCATACTGTTTATGGCTTCTTCAAAATCCAGTGGGGATAGGGTGACGTCTGATATATGATTTGATGTTAGTATCATATCCATGAAAAATTCATTTGGGTTATCAATCTTTAGTGCGTTTAATGGCTCGCTGAAAACAGAGTCGTACTGCTTCCTCAGTAGCTCGCTCATTTCTTTGTTGTCATCGGTAAAAGTTCCATCTCCCTTTCACAGGGTCCCGATACTAGATGTGGTTTTTGATCTTTATTTTGCATAGGAGAAAAAATATTTCGGATTTCTCTCTATTTCACTGATGGCCTTTTGCTCTCTTTGCCTCTCCTGGGTTTTGTATGATTCTTGTAGCTTGAGTTAAATTGTTTCTATTTCTCTACCTAACCTTCTTCGCCGTTCTTGAGATAGGGTGCGACTCTCAAGTTGTTCCGCGATTCATTTTCTTCGCCTACATAGGGAACGACGTTCCCGTTCCAATCTGCATCTCTTCCTCTTTTTTTAGGGGTATGCGGTTTGAACATATTTCTAGTGCTACTGAGCTTATTTTTTCCAGGCACTGGTTCAGGTTTGCATTTTCTAGCTGTTCTTCCCAGTTTATTTCTGTGAAGTCCTGGTTTATTTGCTCCCAGTTTATCTGTTTATTATTGAAGTTGAATTTGCTGAAATCTCCTCTACCGGGAATCTGGACTGGTTTTGAAGGTCTATTCCCCATGGTTGTCATAACTTCAATTAAGTTGTGATCTGAGTAACAGGTATTTGTAATCATTATGTTCCTGATCAATTCATCATTATTAGTGAAAATGAGGTCCAGCATGTTCTTCCTAGTTGGTTCTACTATTTGCTGGTTTAAGGCAAAACTGTCGCACATCCGAAGCAGGTCATTTGCATGTGGCTGTTCATTTAGGCTACTTCCTGGTACAGTATTCTTTCAGATATTACTGTATTAGCCAGGTGCTTCCATTTCAGGTGCCGTAGGTTGAAGTCCCCAAGCAGGATGATGTTCGGAGCTGGATTTGTGAGGTTTTCCAAGCAGTGTTCTATTTTCATTAGTTGGTCTTTAAACTGCCGAGGGTTTGCCTCCGGTGACTTATATACAAGGGCAATAACTACATTTAGGATCTCTATTTAGAATCTCCTAGAATCTCTAGAATCATTTAGAATCTCCTGGGGGAGGGTCAGTAATTCGACCCTGGGGGGAACCTCGATATAAGCCTAACATGTACTTTAAGTACCAGCTGGCTGCCAGTCCCCGACACAAGTATTATTATCACTGAATATTACAAGTATTATTTTCATGAAATATTTACACATCGCTGGAACATTGATTTAGAGAGAATTCTATAACCAATGTTCCAGCTATGTGTAAATATTTCATTCAAAATGATCTGCTACCAGAAATTTTAGCCAAATATACCCAGTTTGCAAACTGTAGGTAGTAATTAAGTGATTGTAACCTATCCACTGCTGCCCACTGGATGGGGGGGGGGGGCGGTGTGCAGGACAAACGTATAAATTGTGACACTAGCTCTCCACATGTCAGTTGCTTAATTTAGAAATTGTATTTGTGGTCGATCTCGAACCCATTGTTGATGTGACGACATATTGAATTTTGTAACTAGCTCATCAAGATTGTAACTTGCTTAGCTAAATGAATTGTGGGGTTCAGTCCCCGAGCCCATTATGTGCCTCTGTAACCCTTTCCACTACCGCTCACAAGATGGGTATGGGGTGCATAATAAATGAACTAAACTAAAACTACTTATAGCCCTGATATTTGAGGTGTGTTACTCATTGCTGCTGTTAGAGGCACCCTACTTTATTGCTACTTTTGAATTCAAATAAATACAAAGTACTATAAATGCTGCCAACTTACCTGAGCAAATTTATTGCGGTATACATGCAGTAATTCCTTGAGCCGTTCATCCATCTTGTTGCTATACACGGCACTTCTCTGGCACACGCCACCTGTCATAAAACTACACTGACAGTCCACTTACTTTTTCAAGGCACTAAGTTCTACCAGGGTCAAAAGTGACCATGATTTAAACACACCATACTGTAGTCTTTGTCTAGAAATACATCTTTAGTTCTCATATATATTAATCTACGTCAAACACTATAGTTAATATCTCCAAGTCTTGACACACACTGTCCACCGCACTTACTCTGCCGTACCCAGAGTTGTACTGTCATCGTCCCTGCGATGCTGACAATGTACGTTGGGGTGTGTAGAGCTGTGGGTGCAGGGGCGTGCAGCTGTGCCAGCCAGTGGCAGGAGCGTGAGGTAGTGACAGCGGGCAGCAGAGGCACATAGCAGTGCCAGTGGGCAGCAGAGTTGGGAGGAGTGCCTGGGGATGGCACTGGTGGCTCTCGGAAGACTTAATGGTGACCCTGCCTTGAGCTGACCTGACCCCCAGGGAAGACTGCCCACCACAAGGAACCTTTCACCACACTCGCCGCCTTGTAGGAAGGAGCCAGGCGAGTGACAGCGACTCACAGAGGTTGGTCAAGACCCACCGTGAGGCCAGCCACGAGTGTGAGGGGCAGACGCCTCACAAGGAGTGCCACAACACCTGTGCTAATTGTCGCCTTCCTCTCCTTGCACCATTGGTCATTCAGCGATGTTGACATTTATTACACTATAGTTCTCGCTTAATAAATAATTTCCTCGCTCATTTGACGGCATCAATGAGGAACACACATGCTAATGTGTGCCCATACAAATTATAATCACTTTGCTACAACTACCACTATGGGTTCCAGAGGTTCAAAATAAAGGAATTAGTGACATTGGCTCTCCATCTTGCTTATGTTGGTAGTGCATCAGGTGGAGTGTAGATGGCGCGCCCCCGCCCCCCTACCCCCACCCCCGCCAACTTCAAACTCGCCTCAACCCTTCATGCATTATATAAAACACCTGTAACATTCAATTCAATTTCTTTCTTTATTATGCACCCCATACCCATCCCGTGGGCGGTGGTGTAAAGGATTACAGAGGCACATAATCGGTTCAGGAACTGAACCCTCTAGTTTATTTATTTATTTATATATATACAAGAAGGTACATTGGGTTTGAGAATACATTGGATAGTACAGTATTTACATTCTTGTAAAGCCACTAGTACGCGCAGCGTTTCGGGCAGGTCCTTAATCTAACAGATAATTTTAAGTAGGTAAATTCTAGCAGAATTAATAAAATGATAACAGATACATTGCAAGAAAAAAAAATGAGATGAGAGAGATTAGTAAGTATATTAAAACACATTGGTATATTAAAGCTCTGATTGATTACATTGACAGCTTGATTGGTAATTTAAACATTCTTGTACAGCCACTAGTACGCGTACGTACTAGTGGCTGTACTAAACAAGATTAATCGACACCATACAGCAGATTGACAGCATATATAAGACAACAGACAGCAACACTGTTGCTTGTTGAGCTTGAAACCGTTGCTCCTTGTTTGTGTTACATCTGACCTTATGAAGATGTTAAACAAGGTCAATACCTTGGCCTGGAGGTGTCCCGTAGGAGATAACAGGTCTTCCTCGTCTTCAGCCGGCCCAATTATGCCCTCTTGAGGCCTATATACACCTCCGTGCGAGGCGAGCACACCTCCACGCGGCTCACATCACGGGGTCACTAGTGCCTTCTCGCTGGCGCCAAGCATGCAGGGGCGCCTGACGTCACGCCCGGGGCGCTACGCCATTGGTCAACTTCGCCAAACTCCCGCCCTTGACCAATCACGTCCCGGTTGGCGCTGCCCCCATAATGCATCGGGAGCCCCGCCCCCCTTCCCCTGGGCGGCAGAGCTCCTCTCCCTCTGGGTCCGCTCCGCCATATTTATCATGGAGTAGATGTCTAAAGCCTCATCCCAAACGAAAAAGAAAATAAAAATTTATCTCAAATGCCACATCAGGCTTCCTCCTAAGTGCATAAAATAAACTCTCAGTTAATCTAGTTATGTACACTCAGTCTCATGGCTCATATGGTGGAAATAGGGGTTAAACAGGACTGAACTCTGTCTCACCCCTTGCATGAAACACATCACAGCATTTCAATCCTGCCTTTCTATAACTACAAGTGGCTGTCGTGCAAACTTTGAGCCATTTGCAGGATATAATGTCGAGCAGCTGTGCAGGAGCAGGTTCTTCATCTGTGGTGACCGGGGCCAGTCCTTTTGCAATCACATTCCAGCCCCAGTGTGTAGGTGGCGAGACATTTTCCAACCAATTCTCAACTTGGTGATACGTACGTTATGAATAAAATCGAGCAGCAGCATCTGTAGGAGGCAAAGAAGCCAAAATAATTTTACTCTGTTATTTGCCAAAACATTGATATCTCAAGTTACAAAGGAATTCACATTCATTTTTCAGTTGTAGGAAACATGAAAGTTTTTCCTTATTTAGCAATCTTTGAAGGTTCAGCAGATGGTTCCTTAAACACCGCAACAAGTTCTTGAAGTTATTCATGTTTTTCCAGCAGTTTTATGAAGTTTAGTTTAACTTGTCTATAAAAAAGTAATTTCAGCGCCACTAAATGTCTGCAAGAAAAGAATATTGTCCTTGATGACTGGTCCATATATACACTTCATGGTGGCTGGTGTGAGTACAGTTTTCTGTATTTTATTTGTCTTTGTTTTAAGAAGTTTGTTTGATCCAGCGAAGCTGTCAGCATTACCAAAGGGTCTACATCATCCATTGTTACCGATTCGGTCTTGGTGGACCATCATATATACATTTTCTTCTGTCCTCCATGGACAGGGTTAGAGAAGTGTTAAACATATAGTTCAAGGGTTTATTGAACACTCGACCACAGAAGGTGATTCGGGGGAGGGGGTAGAAGTCTCTACCGTGTGGTTGTGCCCAGCTGGCAGGCAGGAGCTGCCCCCCTCCTCCCCCCCCCCCACACCCAGAGCGATATAAATAATTGGATAATAATAATTATAATAATAATAATAATAATATTATTATTATTATTATTATATTATTATTATTATTATTAAGGTAGAGTAAGTTACGGCAACTTTGAGATAGGGAAATAAGATGCTTTAAAACTAATTTATTTTTAATTAAGATTTTAAATGTTAAAAATATAAAAATGAATATCTTCGTAGAAAGACATTACATGGATCCTTCTAATTCAAAGAGATTGATTAAAGTCATGTTGTTATAAGCGAGGATCATGTGCCAGAGTTTCTCTATCAAAATCTTACCCTTTGTTAGTCTAGTTGGGAAGACAGCCTGCACGGCGCTCTTTAACGACACCTTCGCGCTGTTCGGAATGATGTCGAGGCGCTCATAGTTGCTCAAATATTGCAATACACGTGGGTAAGTATCATTGGAGGGAGCAGAGATAAGAAGACTGCTTAACCTCGATGATAACACATAGGCATCGCCGATGCACTGGGAATGGCAATCGTTTGTATGGTATTCTGACCCGTGAGCTTGGCCGTCAGGAGTGCTGCAGATCTTTCTCTCCTCTGCGCACACAATATCTGTATGACAACTTGCGAGGTAACGTTTTAACGCGAACGGATTTATAAACACATCAGGTTTGCTAAGCAAGTACCATCTGGCCTCAGGACAGTAATCCTTTCTCCAGTAGAACATCGCCATGATTTTTAATGGTAAATTTTCGTAAGTATCAGTAAAGTCGAGCTGAATCAAGTCTTGATATTGTCTGCTCTCTTCTAAAATGTGTTTGTTTATGGGACCGGAGATGGAGACGCCGACCGCGAAGACTGTCCTCATGGTAGTGAAGTGACTGTGCATCACGGCCCCCCACGCCTCCCTGCCAGGTTCAAGAAGTCATTACAATACCTGTTTCACTACTTTTAAGTAATTATCAAAAGAAGGCACCAAACCGGGAAGGCTATGCATCACTAGTTGTAAACTATTATATGAATCACATTTATGTAAATTAAATCGGATTGATGGCCCATCCCCACCTCCTCCCCCTCTTCACAACCACTTTTAGAGCGACACACTCTTCATGCAGGTTTGAGTTCAATCTCCAACCGTTCAAGTGGTTAGGCACCATTCCTTCCCCCGTCCCATCCCAAATCCATATCCTGATCTCTTCCAAGAGCTATATAGTCTTAATAGCTTGGCGCTTTCTCCTAGTTATTGCCTTGCCTTGCCTTGCCCCCCCCCCCCCCGAGTAGCAGCAATAGATCGCCCCTTTCACCTGTCTGTGGCAGTAGAAGTCACCCAGTCGTCCACAGCTGGCAGTTGTATAGCTCGCCCACTAACATCCCCCCCCCCCCCCCCCCCTCCCTGGCTGAACATCTATCCATCCCTCCCTACTATCAGCAGTATGGAGCGCCTCCCATCCTAAACCAGAACTGCAGTCACCAGCCAACATGAAAACTTGGTCTCCCCAGGTTTATGGACCGAATGGTGGAGATTTCTGCTTTATTTTCATCCATTATACAACTGGCTTAAGAGTAAAACATTTACCATTATCGGTTTTTCAGATATGAAAACCTTAGTGTGTACATACCTGATTACGGAGCGAGTCTCCATGTTGCCTGGGGCAATGGGAATGACGTTGATTATGTCTACTCCTGCACTGCACAAGAGGGGCTCGTTGATCAGGTACCTGTAACATCACAAGAAGTTTACACTTAGAAACATTAATGCCGTCTTGTCACTATTCACTTTTGTTATGACCAGGGTTGGTCTGATACAAGGGTTGTGTGTATGTAACCAAAGAGTACAAGGTGTGAGCGCGGGACCGCTAGCATCCTGCCTTCTTTTTTAGCTTGCGAAGCGGAGCGTGTCAGGAGCAGGAGAGACCACATGACCGATTGATTGATAAAGATTAAGCCACTCAAAAGGTGGCACGAGCATGAATGGCCCGTAAGTGGTGGCCCTTTTGAGCCACCATTACCAGTATCAATAGATGATACTGGAGATCTGTGAAGGTGCGACTGCACCCTGCGTGACTGGAGATGTCTCCCGTGCCACATGACCTCTCCCCCCCCCCTTTATATAGGCCCCCATTGCGCTGCGCACACAGTGCCTGCGGATCGTGCTGTGCAAATGTCTTTCTCCTCCCTCAGAAAATCCTCCGCTTTCCTGTGTAACGCAGTGTTTTTTTTGGTGAGTAATTCAGTTTTCTTTGCATATTCGTGGTATACAAATTCTTGCTAAATGCATTCCGATGTAGTAACTAATTTAGGCCAATACTTGCTACCTAGCGGTGATTTCGGGACTTTGCGTCCCCGCGGCCCGGTCATCTACCATGCCTTGTTGCTGGAATGGTCAACCAGGCTGTTTGACGCGGCTGCTCGCAGCCTTACGTACGAATCACAGCCTGGTTGGTCAGATATCCTTTTGAGGTGCTTATCAAGTTCTCTTGAACACTGAGGGGTCGGCCAGTTATGCTCCTCATGTGTAGTGGAAGCGTGTTGAACAGTCTCGGGTCTCTGATGTTGATATAGTTCTCTATCAGAGTACCTGTTGCACCTCTGCTCTTCAACGGGGGTTAACGTACCTGACGTTGCTGAGCACCGTGGGTTTAAAGATAAATGACTGTGTAGCGTTGTCGGGGCCCTCTGCCTCCGCGTCCCAGCCTGGTCCCAGCGTGCCTCTGAGGTCCACCTGCAGGTATAGGTAAAATAGTTGCTGATGCAAGTATTGCAGGTTGTTAAGTGTGGCAACACTAATGAGCTCATTCAAACGATCTTGCAGCTTTATTTTAAGAGAAAATGACCCAGCAAGTTAGAATTAGGCAATTCACCAAGAAATTAATAGAAAAACGTAAGACTTACTAGACGGAACTTCTGTGCGTGGTGAGGGACAGATGGTGGGAAGAGGAGCCGGTATACGAGGACAAGCGCCAGCATGGTTAGCATCAGGGTCACCTTCCGCCACCTGGTCAGGTGACGCAGGAGTGCTCCCATACCTGCAACACACACACACCCACCATCACCATCGTCCTCAGAGGCTCGGCCTACACCTGCAGCAGGGCCTCTACCTTACCCTGCTCCCAGACAACTTCCACGTGTCCATCACATTTCCAGAGTCAATATTAAAGGAGGCAGCCTCTCAGCCCATTCTAGTATTTACTTACACAATGGTGCACAATGTGCGTGAGGTGCACAATGTGCGCGAGGTGCACGATGAAGTTACATTAACGTGATGTATTAGAAAATCAGGAGCCGTGAGGATGAATCTAACCCTCCACAATTGGGACTCCCAGCACACGCCCGCACGCTTGAGAGTACCAAGTTATCATCAGCAGCATTATCATCTACCACAAACGTGGCCACACATTTACAATGCTAACCACCATGTATACATTTTCTTCTGTCCTCCCTGGACAGGGCGAGACATCTGTTAAACATAGTTCAGAGATTTATTGATCAACCACAGAAGTTAATTTTAGTGTTTTTAAAATGCTAATCTAACCTACACAGATTTACGTCTGTCCTACATAAAAGGTTCTATTCTCCTCAAGGTCTTTTCTAGCACACAAATACTCAAAACTAACTACTGAAGTGTTTAAACTGTATAATTCTCAACTAGAGCAGAATCTGACAATGTTTATTTAGGAAGAAGTACATGTACAAAACTAGATACAAGAAGACTAAGATTTCTAGATAGATCAGGTATATACTATGCTAAAGTTACGCACAGCATTTCGGCCAAGATGTGGAAAAATAAACTTAAAACCCAAGACTCTCATAGAGGTGCCTGTGTGGTACCCGATGTGTCTAGTTAACTTAACTAGAACGTTGACGTCAATTAAATTTGCCATTTACGACACTCTACAAACTCTTACGAGTAGTTAACACATTCTGGAAATTTCCAGGAATGTTAGGGGTTAAAACCCATGCGAGGCTTGTACCACTTGGGACACTTGAGTGGACCCCGCTGGCAAGACCAGCAGTGTGATGACGGGCGCCTCTTGCCGCCTACTTGCCAAGGGGTATCGCCTGTTGCACTGTCTATATCTTTCCTGCCTTTGACTAACTTGTAACAAACTACTGTAGCATCTGGTCTACTCTGTAGTACTTCTGGTTCGACACACGAGGTACTACATTAGGCGTGAAGGTGGTAGAGGCCAAAACCGTCACAAGTTTAAAGCGTTACACGACAGTACTGGGAAGACTGGACACCACTAGCGTCGTTCTTATCCTGTAACTGCACTGAGGTGCACGCATCATGCACGTCTCCATCTGCAACATTTCCTACAGCAAGAGTGAAGGTCAAACCTTCAGATATGATCTAGAGCATACAGTAGCACCCACAGCTCGTCTTCAGAAGCAAGACACCTTCGCTACGCGGTGCTGCGAGGTGCTGTAGGACTACAGCATTTCAGTTGAAGTCTCTTCTAGCAAGAAGATTTATGAACGGTGTCAAGTCAAAGCCTCTGCATAACAAGGCCTTAAGGGGGCATAATTTAGTTTATTAACAGTTGTTCAATGTCAACCAAACTTTTTGGTTGAGTTGTATATGAAAAGGGCTGCAACTGTTCCAAGTTTCAATATCGCAGCCTAAATAAAAGGGGGGGGGGGGAAGAGTTTTTCCAACGAATTACACATTTTCAATAAGCCTCTACAACCATAAGTTTCAAATGAAATCATTTCTAACACTTCTATCACATTAGCATATAATAAAGGATCTGTATAACTGGGTTTTCCAAAAATGTGTTTAGTTTTACTAATACAAATAGTCAAAGTTCCCCCCCAAAAAATTATGCAAATATATCAAGTTTATTACTATTTATAAAATCAAATGATTTTAGGAAAAAAAAAAGTTTCTTGCAGATTTTAGAGAAACACTGCATATAAGGTGCAAGTTTCATGTAAATTGAATACAAAAATGAAGTAGTAGTTACGTTTATGTTACTTGAAAATATAGTTAAAAACCATGAGGTCTAAGGTGCTGCCATCTGTGGCTGAGGTTGACATCAATCAAGTTCCTCCAAAATTGGCACCCTTAGATAGGCTTACCTGACTTACACCATAGTCAGGTGTAAGTTTCATGCAAATCGTCCGATAAAAAAAATTGGATAGAAACTTTTTTATTATAATATTCTATTGCGATAGCCGAGAGTCTGACATGATTTCAGTTGACACTTTTGTTTGATGTTAATTTTTGAACATTTTGGAAAATTGTTGACAATTACTTTTTTCCCTCCTTCCTATTTATGCTACGATGCTGAGACTGACCAGATGAAGCCCTTTCCATATACAACTGGTCAAAAAAGTTTGAAATCGAACTAGTTTTCATTTATTGCACATTAGAAAATTATGTTCCCTTAAGACGCATCTAAGGTTATATTTAAATTATTGTTAACTAACGTCTTGCTTGTTATTGCTCACGTGAGGCGTGAGCAAGAGAGAAGCTTGTGCAAATGGTTCATTCAAACATCTGGTGCCGCAAAAAAAAAAAAAAAAAAAAAAAAAAAAAAAAAAAAAAAAAAAAAAAAAAAAAAAAAAAAAAACTGAAATCTAAAGGATTATCTTGCTATTCAACATTCCTGCTCTAGTAATGTTGAGAATGCTTAGATTCCATCCACCAGACGAAGACGTTAAGGAATCTTCAACATACTAAACTGAGAGGCCTTTAGCCGCTCTACTTTCGGGCCAGGGTTAATACCTCCGCTTCGCTTCCTATGTGTCAAATCTTGAGGGGTGAACAACAATAATTAAACTGGCTCGAATCCTGTGCAAGGAGCAGAAGCCAAGAAGAGTTCTTACACCTCATTCAACCCTTGGGTAAATCAGAATTAAGATTTAAAGTAAGCTGGAGAAGGTCGAGCTTTTGGCCTGAAAACTAGGCAAAGCCCTCAAGTTTCACGCCCATCCTCTACAAGTAGGCTAACTTAATAAAATAAGGTTTCCCTTGATAATACCGGAATTTAGCGTCATCCATGTACACAATACCACACAACAAAGAAACAAGAGGAAAACGTAGATATAATAGGCTATAGTCTTAAGCCACATAGGTTAAATGGACGAATATTTAAAGAATGACTAAACCTTAAAAGTTAAAGTTAAGAGGTAAACCTTAAAACGTGGTTAATATAAGCAGATGTAGTTTACATGAAAAACAAATTCTTCGATGCAGTTACATTTAGTCCGAGGCAAGTCTTAAATCAGGGCAAATTAAATTTTGGAAGCATACAACGGGGGAGGAGGAGGACGTTTCCGGTTTAAAAGGAGACGTCACCTGGACAATCAAATCCCGTACATTGATTTTTTGTAATAAACTTAGGTACACTATAGTGTTGCTACACAATTATGAGGGATTACAGGTAAAGAGCTAGTCATGTTCACACAATATATCGTAGGCATCTTGTGCCATTCGGATTAAAACCACTGGCAACTGGGTGATCACTAGCGGGGGGGGGGGGGTAGTGCCTCCTAACTTAGTTTTACAATCAAAGTACTTATTCGAGGGCTTTGTTGCCTACACGCACCTTCCACGGGGTAACAATATTCCAGCATAATTCTGGCAATTAAGATGTTGCCTGTCAAGATGTTTTATGCTGGTCGTGTATAGTTCTGTTCTAAACAGCATAACCCTTAAAAGTGCCTTCTACCTTTTGTCAGCAATGGCTGTCAGTTTTAGTTTATTTATTAACTAGTTCGGGTGATAGAGGGTTCTTTCAATTTCTCGTTAATTACATGCAGGTTTGCGTCGTGTTATACAATACCTATATGAGACTATGCATAAAACAAAAAATGGAAGTACAATAAATATCTGCAGGACAAAGCCTTACACCAACAAGTTGATAGAACCGCTTGGCTTGTGCGGCTCGACATGGGTGGTACACCAGCCACTGAACACATCAAGAATATGACTACTCACGTAAAGTTGCCATTTGTAGACGAGGTGTAATGAACTTCTACGGCCCAAGAGTCTTCTGCGAGATCTTCCGGTGGGCACAATTGAACACGCTTAACTATTACTGACGCTGGATTTTCTACACAAACCCCCAGACAACTATCAGACTGCATACAGCACCGTGCAGGTACCGAAGCTAACAGCCCGTCACTTTAGATCAGAAGGTGCACGCAGCAGTTGTCACACTTGCCGCTCCCAATTGTCACAGAGACACGAGCGCTTTCCAGGGCGCGAAACAGTAAACAGATGGCGGTAGTGATAACTCATCGTTTTCTTTGGCTCTGTCTGCTCTTTGTTTACGAATTGACGTAATCAATGAACCTGAAACTGCTGAATTAAAAAAAGGTAAAGACATTGGAATAATATAACATAATGTTATGTTATGTTCAAATTTAGGTCTGCATCCAGGTAGTGGAACCATTCAGTTTAGTTAATGTATCATGCTCCACACACACCCATCCTGTGTTTGGCAGTGGAAAAATATCGCTTAGCTAAGTAACTTACAGCCATGATGATCTAGTTACAAATTTTGTTAACGTAAACATCAACTGCATGATGCGAGGAGGACGTGTTGCTCCGCATCTTCGTGTTTGCACGTGGCTGTTGCAGCTAGATGTTGTGAATTTGTTCTCGACTGTTGCAGTGATACAGTGCCTTTGTGTATCGAGGAAATGGCTGAGGCGGTCTGCCAAGGTGATGTAAGATCCTGTACTGGGCCTGGAGAGAGGGACAGTGGGGATGGCAGACAGGATGATACTAGGCCGTATCAAGCAGTAGTGAACAGATATAAACGGCGAAATATTCAAAGACAGCGAGACGGAGACAGTGAGGAGGAAATAACAGAGACCAAAAAATGAAGCCATGCTCAGCAGGACATGTGAGATGCAGACTAATGGAAGGAAGAGGCTGTTGTTCCCTACAGCGTGTCAACTGAATTTTCATCAAAAGCTGGAGTGGACGGTTCATTTGGCTAAGGAGTTTTTTTTTAATATGAACCACTATTCAAGGAGGGTCTTCACCGGCCCTACATAACAGTTGGGACAGAAAAGGCTGTGGAACACCTAACGAAGGATGGGTTTGAGAATATTGTGATGGTTACTCCGGAAGAAGGTATGATACATACCAAGGTCATAGTGTTTAAGTATCCAACTTATTTGGATCCTGATTATCTGTTGCTCAACAATGATAGTGTTGTTTGGGCAAAGAGGAACAGTGTTCGTGGGGAAAAACAAAGCCAGGTTGTTGTCTTGGTAAAGGGTGAGGCTCCAGAAAGAATTTTTGTGCAAGGACTAGGCTACAGGAAAGTTGCAAACTACATTGAGGAGCCCATATTATGCATAAAGTGTTCTCGTTGGGGACATATGGCTTGGAAATGCCAGTTTGACTCCAGGTGTCGGTACTGTGATAAGAAACACGACTCTTGAGAGTGTAGAGTCAAGATTAAAAACGGTGAAAAAATCGTCCCATCTTGTTGCAATTGTCGAGGCAGCCACAATGCTGGTTCCTATCTATGCCGCATGAAGCCTCATCTGAGAGACGCTAGGACGGGTGCTACAAGTAGGATAGAAGTATCCTCGAAGGAAGGAAAGATTGTGCAGCAGGATCATAGAGGAAACAGCTGGAAACCAATGGCAGCGCCTATGAACAATGTGTGGGAGAAAGGAACGGAGACAATTAAGGCGAGCCTAGGGAAAGTAGGAAATGCAGCTGAAAAAAATTAAACCTTTTGGAAACAAGGTTCAGGACAATATAGTGAACTCTGAGGTTGGTACTCAAATATTGGAATATCTAAAAAAACTAGACAAGAGGATTGAGGCATTAGAAAAATTAGCTATGGAGGATAGACGGGGTGAAGATGGTGGTGAAACAGGACGTGAAATGGAAAGTGAAACAGGATGTGAAATGGAAAATGAAACAGGACGTGAACTGGAAAGTGAAACAGGACGTGAAATGAAAAGTGAAACAGGACGTGAAATAGAAAGTGAAACAGGACGTGAAATGGAAAGTGAAACAGGACGTGAAATGGAAAGTGAAATGGAAAGTGAAACAGGACGTGAAATGGAAAGTGAAACAGGACGTGAAATGGAAAGTGAAACAGGACGTGAAATGGAAAGTGAAACAGGACGGGAAATGGAAAGTAAAACGTGCGTTGAAGAAAGTAAGGAAGAACATGACGTATTGATGATAGAGGATAGTCAGGAAAATGAACTTTCTAGTAGTGTTAGCGGTGTTCAACCTTCTGTAGTGACAAATGTTGAAACAAAGGTTAAAGTAAAACGGTATAGAGAAATAAAAAAGAAAATATATATGATATCTGTACTCACTGAATTGTGCGCCCCTTAAGGGACTTGAAATAGAGGGGGGTTAGAAATAGCCTAAGCTACTCTACCCCTTTGAGATGTATCTTTTTTCTTGTCTTAATAAACATACTTGAACTTGAACTTGAATAAGGAGTGTAAATTATGTAGTATGCCGCACGCCCACACCTTAGAACATTATGTATTAGAGTGTCAACTTATAACTATAGAAATAAGGAAATAAGTAGTGTACCACATCAAATTGTTTGGATGTGTGATAATGATATGATAGACAGTATACCTAGGAGCTACAAGAATTTTGCCCCAAGAGTGTAACACTTATATGCTGTGCTTATTATATTAATTTAACCTGCAATGTTAAATGGGATTCTTGTATTGTGATTTGTGTATTTATACTCACTGAATTTGTGCGCCCCTTGAAGGACTTGAAGTAGAGGGGGGGGGGGGTAGAAATAGCCTAAGCTACTCTATCCCTTTGAGATGTATTTTTTCTTGTCTCAATAAACATACTTGAACTTGAACATCAACTGTGTATTCACGGTTTACTATCGTGACCCTGTGAGGCCGTAACTTTTAACCGTAACCCAGTTTACTTGAATTAGTTTATTAGTAAGGACCCAAACTTCATACCTATCCTGTGAGCTGTAGTGTTAAAAGTTACAGAGGCACATAATGGGTTCAGGAACTGAACCACTAAAATTTGTTCAGGTAAGCAAGCTACAAAACTGACGAGCTAGTTACATAATTTGACAAAGGAACATTAACATCATATTTAGTCAAACTAACGTCACTGGAACCTCGAGAGATTCTATCGCAAATAAGAAAGAGAGGAGGAGAGGAAGTAGTCTAGTGAGACTACTTCTTATCCTGTACACCTCCAGCGACAAGCAGGTACAAAACCAAAGGGTCAACGTGTGTGCAGAACACAGGAACAATCCCTTGGTGTTCCCCAAGAACAATGCCAGAAGTTTAAATACAGTAATACTAGAAGCCTAGTAAATGAATTTGACGCATTGTGTGCATTCGCTGTGGCTGAAAATCCCGGGATCATTGGCATCAGTGAAACATGGGGACGAGAAGACATTAACTGAAGGGTAGTGCCATCTTAAATGATCCCACCAACCTCTCAGAAAGGATACACCAACAAGAGCAGGTGGTGTGAAATTATATATATTTATTATAGTGATATTATATTATAGATATTATTATATTTTTGCCCGAAACGCTATGCGTGCTAGTGGCTTTACAAAAATGTAAAATCAACTTAATTACTATGTTCTCTATTAACCCTAATGTACCTTCTTGTATATAAATAAATAAATAAATAAATATAAAAGTGGATTTGACTGTAACCAACAATGAGGAACTAAGCATCATGGGATCCTGAGAATCTGTATGGTGCAATATTCTAACTGGAAATATAGCAAACTGAACTTGCTAAAAAATACAAACCAAAAAGGAGCAGGAAACATAAAAGAACATATGGATGACACAGGCAGTAAAAAGAGTTATAACAAAAAACACAAACCTCTGGAAGCTGTATCAGTCCACCAGGAATCACACAGATTATGAGAAAATCAGAAGGGCATTAAATCCTGCTACTCTGGAAATCAAATCAGTCAAAAGGAACTAGGAAAGAAAACTTTCTCAAAATATTAAGAGATCAAGTCTTTTTATGGTTACATACGAAGGAAAATGCAGACAGAAGACTCGGTAGAATCCTTAACAGATGACGCCAACTAAGTTATAATAATAATAATAATAATAATAATAATAATAATAATAATAATAATAATAATAAGAATAATAATTTATTTGCAAGAACGTACAATGGGTTGGTGAGATTACATAAGTTTGGTATTTTTACATTCATACAAAGCCACTAACACGCATAGCGTTTCGGGCAGGGCCTTAATCTAACATATCAGGTAAGATGAAAAGGTACATTGTAGCAAGGTATATCAACAAATAACTACAATATAAGTTGACAGCGGTGATTACACTGGTAAGGATATATGTCTTAAGTACTAATATTGAGGAAGTGGGCAGTAAAAGATACAGTATGAGTTTGAAGCACAAGATAGGAAACTGAGGATGAAATTAGGAACATTTTGGTTTTACTTCTGAACAGGGAATGGGTTGGGCGGTTTTTTAATTCATCAGGGAGTGAGTTCCAAAGAATGGGTCCTTTTATTTGAATGGAATGTTTGCACAGATTTAGTCTGACTCAGGGGATATGAAAGAGAAATTGATTACTGGTGTGATACTCATGGTTTCTATTACATCTATCAAGGAAAAGTTTCAGATCAAGATTAGCATTTAGGAACAAGGTTGTGTATATAGATAGCACATGACAATGCGGGGAGTGAGTGTATGTTTAGCATGTTAAGGGACTTAAATAGAGGGGCTGTGTGTTGTCTGAAGACCGAGTTTGTTATAGTTCTGATAGCAGATTTTTGCTGAATGATGATAGGCTTGAGGTAATTTGCAGTGGTTGAACCTCATTCAAGATACCGTACGTTAGATAGGGATAGATTAATGCGTAGTATAATGAAAGGAGAGTGGGGAAACATAATGTCTTATTTTAGAAAATATACCAACCGTTTTTTATAATATTTTAACTATGCTTGTGCTAAAGTTCAGTCTCTTGTCAATGTATAGGCCAAGGAACTTCCTCTCATTTTTATTGGTTATGTTAACATTGTCTATCTGAAGTTGAATCTGATTTGATGATTTACTACCAAATAAAATATAAAAGGTCTTCTCTATGCTTAGTGTAAGTTTGTTGGTTGACATCCATGAGTGAACATTTTTTTTATTTCACTG